CCCACACCCCGCTCCTACTCTACTCTAATATTATAAAATAACTATAGTACCACGTAAGTCCCAGCCCCGCGAGCGCGAGTCGCCTCAAATCTACCAGTTACGTATACACTCCATATGTACTACTTGTTTTGATATATCGAACCTTTCTTTTTCTATAACGATTGTCTAATGTTTAAGAAAAAAAAATTAGTACTTTGGTATCGCATTTTAACTGTTCGTTCTTAAGAATGTATTTGTATGGCGAAGGCGCCCCCGCGCGCCTTCCTGCGCCTCCCCGCGCCTTCCCGCGCCATCGACAGCTACTCTCTAAAGTGGGAATTGTAAATTTTCTAAGTATTTTGTACCGCGTGTCAGCGAGCGCAGCGGGGTCCCGCGCATCGCAACATTTGGAGTATTCACACTTGATTGCTTTAATTACTTACGAGTATTGTGATAGAGATTTTGTATATTTAATTTATTTTTAATTTCGCATACTTGTCGAGCAGTCGCAGCAGAGCGTCGCGGCACACATTCCAGGCGCGTGCCCGAGTAAGATATTAGCGATATACTTATTTGAATTGTAATATTGCATATATTTTTGTTAATTTATCCACAAAATAAAAATACTGATGCAATTAGCCTTAGTGTTATGCAATATTGATTTATGTCCTACATCTACATGCAAATTTATTGTAAATGACAGTGTAAATCTAATAATAAAATTCAAAAGTCCAATGTCTTGTTTCATTTATCTCATCGGAAAGGAGAAATCATATCATCTATAAAGAGAACCAACGATTGACAGCCCTAGGGGTCTAGACCCTAAATGATTGATTTTAATAAGGCAACGCAATACTAGTGTTGTGCATATTAATATCTACGTATTAGATACTGGCTGTTGCTCACGACTTCGGTCACGTCAAACTAAAATATAGTAAAAGACAGCCAATGTTACAAACAGATTACGCAGCAGCAAGATTTTATGAAATCGGCCCAGTAGTTGAGTTATTTCAATACATACAAATCTTTTCTCTTTATAAGTACATATATAATTTAATCAAAAAGTAACCGAGGATGTGCCTCGACACTAAATGCTTGACCGATTTCGAAGTGTGAGATGTTACATTCGTATTCTTCAACACAGTGTGGCAGGAGCATTTTAGGGAGGATAATTAGTTTTACCTCTATTATCGATCTTCATAAGACAGATTTGAGAATCTTTAATCTATGGTATCCGTATCCCTTTAAAAGTTTTGGTTAGGCAACTATACCATTGAGTTCGGAACATTAATATCTTCTTTTGAGTATTTTCATCTGAAAACTTGAGGACAATTGGCCTCTACTTTGTCACCACTTTAAAGCAGGCAAGTGGAAATCCCTTCTGCAAGGAAAAAGATAGGCAACATCCCCCACCTTAGAGACACATTTACGTTACGTACTATCGATTGGGGACAAATCAGGAAACTCGATGAGGACTTGGCCTCCAAAAACTTACCACTTCAGAGATCAATTAAACATAGCCTTGCCAAGCGGTTAGGCAACCCAGTTACATGTTTAAAAACGTGAAATTTCATATAATATAGGTTTTATCAGGAAATTGATGAGGCTAGGTCAAACCCTTAGGATCTCAAGTTATACATCTATATGCAAATTTAGTGTAAATCTGTTTAATGTTAAAAAGCGGAAAGATTTGTATTTTTTTGGATTACTGTATGTATTTAAATAACTCAAAAACTACTGGGCCGATTTCAAAAGTTTTTTCACCTTTTAAAAGCTACGTTATCAGTGAGTAGCACAGACTGTTTTTTTACTAAATTTTACTTCACACGTACGAAGTCGTGAGCAACAGCAAATCTGATAATAAAATGCAAAAATCCATTGTTTATCACATGGGCAAGGTTGAAGAAAAACAACAATTGATACAAAATATCGTTTATTGCACAGGGATATTAAATATAACAATAAAAGTATAATTCCAATATTCGTATTATTATGACAGCGCGGTTTGTGACAAGACACTTTGTTCGAGCGAGTCCGCGCTCACCCAAAATAAATTCGTAAAGCTTAAAAACTTATTTACAATTAAATTAAACTATTAAATACATTTGGATAATTACTACAGATTCATTCGATGTTACACGATTTTTATAAATAATTTAACTTTACCGACAAATCAAGTATTTTAAGCAGTTTTAAAAGGAATTGCAAGTCCCGCCTAAACTAATCCGAGATGCTTTGGTATTTTGGACAAATGATTTGAACCGCAGATGGCACATACATCTAAAAATGATCACAACTAGACTAAAAATTAATTATAAATACAATTTCTGTACCTTGCGTAGCACGGAATGGATGCGCGCAAACAGATAACCTCTAAGTATACGACTGGGTTTATTAAAACTATGTTATTTGAACTAAAACAGTCCAGAGAATGTTTTTGTAATAAAATTTGAAGTCCTTTTCAAGCATACAAGGAAAATCATTTTTTTTTTTCAAACAACGCGCATCCATTAATAATATCATAAACATATTCACAACTTAGCTAACGCTGTACGCGGACGTCTACTGTTGCCAACATTCAAATTAGTATTACAGATAAGATATTACAATTTTCCTCTCAAATATGACCTAAGAATTTACCAGATAATACTGTTCACACTTTAAAATAATTTATGCAGTTGGCAACACTAAACATAGCGTAGTTTGGTAATACCAACATAAATTAACAAACTTAAACATTAAATTTAATTAAATAACAAAAATAACTTACCTAGCAAAGCATTATCTTAGAGTTTTGAATATATTAATAGATGCCGTGGGTGCTACATACTACACATACAAATAAAAACTCCAACCGATCTTTCCCTTCTGCATTATTCAATCGTATGTGTAAATGGCAACACCGACACGAACTTATTTTATAATATATACAATTGACAAAACTAAACTGCAAATAATGCCACCATTATGAAAACAACATTCTAAATAAAATAACCAAAGATGTCAATATAATAAATAATATAAGGTGCAAAATTAGACGGAGCTATAGTTAAAATAATTAGTGAATTCATATGACATCAAACTACATTACAAACAATCATTCAGTCTGTACATAAAACTTTTTTCCCATGTTTTTGGAGTCTCAATTAGACATGTTGAACATTTGACCCGGTTCTAACGTTCAGGTTTGAGCTATGGCTCAATCAGCTCACGGTATATGTTGATAGAAACGCTAATCATAATCATATAGATACAAATTGATCTGTGAATCAGTTGACTGATCTGTAAATCAATAATTTCAGTTGAGTAACACATAACTAGTAATCGACTGGTCCCAACTTATCTATCGGAATGTTTATGTTCTACACCTATCCCGCTCTATCTCATTGAAGGGAAAAGAGACTGCAATAGTATAAATCTAATTTGCCGCCAAAATTACATTTACATTTTTTTTAAAGCAAAATCTATATAGAAAATATAGTAAAATATAATGTTTTTTCTATTACATTTGTTTTTTTTTTTACAAGCCAAGCTAAATAGTGCCAATAAGAATATTTTTTATGTAAATTTTGATATTTATAATTTGATATTAAGCAAGTGCAAATTCAAAAATCTTTTATTTTACAATTTTATTTTTAATATTACATTTATTTTGTTTTTATTTAATTATTGTACTATCGTGAAATACTGGGCAGTTTACTGTTTATTTTTTTTAGCTACCAATATATCGTAACAATTACATCAATTGTAAATTCTACATATACATCAGTTTTAAATATATAAATAGGATACAATGTTAAAATCAAAACACAACAAAACAATTTTTATTTAACTTAGCATACCAAATGATTTAAACAATTTGGTAGTCATAGTTAAAAAATAGACAATTATATTTGTGTTTCGTTTATGCCTGGTTCACACGTGGGCAGGACAGTTGGACAGTACGCGGATGACACTTGTCCAGTACCGGTCTGTAGCTTAAACTCAACTGTAAATCAACTGGCACTACTGGGTAATTTATACTAATATTATAAAGGGGAAAGATTTTTTTTTTGTATATATTGCAAAAACTATACAGCCGATTTCAATTCTTGCACCTATAAAAACTTTATCAATGACGTAGGCCATACTTTTTTTATTATTTTTTAATTCCACACTGATTAAGTCAAACAGCTAGTACAATCTATGTCTGTCGCAACTGTCTTACTGTACTGTCCAAGTGTGAACCGTGCATTATCAGGTCATGCGAGTACACACATGTTCCGCATATCATCATCTTCAGTGGTCACCGCGGGTGGTGTACCATTCGTACTTGCAGGTAAATATCGCGAGTATTCCAGTCCAGTGCGCTCATAGAACAGTAAGTAAGCGGCCGCTGGCTGCACCTCGCGCGCACTGACCGCACGACACGAGCTGTCGTTGTAGCAGAGCCAGGCTCCGGATGGGTTGTGTGCGTACGCGACGTAGTGGCCGCCGTGCAGCTGACCGGTGTGTGACTGAGATAAAACAACTATCTTACTCTCTCTAACATAAGTAAGACAGAGACAGCAATAGTTTTGCTAACGCAGCGGTACGACGTAAATGTATGTATTTTATCTAAAAATTTAAAACAAAAAGCGCCCCTATTTGTTTTAAGGAAATGATGAGCAGAAGACAGTATTTAGCGGAGAAAAGAAGGTTAAAGAGGAAATATGATATTTTGGTGATTTTCTCTCATCAAAAATGGCGGCGTATATGTGATTGCGTGTGTCTATGGGTAGTAGTTAATTCGCTATTTCGGCGAAACCAAGTGTCCAATAACATTTTTGCCAAATTAAAAAAAAATAATAGATAAGAATAACTCACCACAACAGCATACAGCTTGTACTTCAAATCGAAGGGGTCCTGGTCCTTCTCCAGATGGTGCTGGTGGTAGTCCACCAGGTTATCATCAGTGACAGGAGTGGCTGTCAGGCTGGTGGACTGCAGCCGCGCACGACCCTTCACCTCCACCGACTCCCGTCTTCTTTCCACATTAGCTTTACTTCTAGAATCTTCTCTACTATCCTCATCATCGGAGTTCTCGCTCTCTGTCTCCGATATGGGACCTTCAACGTCCACGAACATGGACCTTCGCCTCATGGTCTTCAGCTCGCGATGCCTGAGGATGGTCTCCTGGGGGACGGAGGCGAGGTACGGCGTAGGATCGAAGTCTTCGAAGGGGAAGTTGACCACTTTCTGGGATTTTATCCATTTGTTGTTCACGTATTGGAAACGTTTGAGGTGGACAATCTGTTAGAAATAAAATATACCATAAATTATCCTTACAATCATTGTTATAACGTTTAAATATACATCTCTAGTCATGTGTAGCCGTTACATTTCGGCACCTTCAGACTTATGTTTAGAAAAATTCTGTTACCGGCAAAAACTGTTAATTTTTCATTACAGTTATGTGTACGTTTGCGTATGTACACTTGCATACATGTGTATATACGTACGTGTGCATATGTATTCTTGGGCGCACGGTATGGACAGTTTTTCGGAGGTCTAATTTTAGTTCCTTCTCCTTTCCACCCTTTTATTAAGAGGAAAGGATGGGAAGGAAAAGTGGATTTGACGGTGGAGACGCATAGGAAGGGGAAATATCCTCTTTATGTGCGTCTCCTCCTCCATCAATTAAGGGTAGGCAACGCATCTGCAATTGCGGATGTGTATGGGCAGCGGTTGCTTTCCATTTCGGTGGCCGCTTGCTCGTTTGCCACATTATAAAAAAAAGTCGCGTTCCCGCGTGTGTATACGTGCAGCAGTGCAGCAGTGTGCAGTGTGTGTGCAGTGTGCAGTGTACCAGTATGGGCGGCGCGCGCCACAGCTGCAGCTTCTTGGTGGCGGGCTGCGCGCAGCGGCAGTGGTCGCAGTGGTAGCGCTGCTCGAGGCGCTCCTCCGAGGTGAAGGCGGCCAGGCAGCTGGCCAGGTCCACCGGCCGCGCGCCCGCCGCCCCGCACTCCGACACCGACGGGTGCTCCACGCACGCCTGCACACATTATATTCACTAACAAACACCTTTTATACTCATAAATAAACCACATTTGCTAATATATTAATACTTTTAAGAGAACTGCAGCATTTCGCCCCCCTTTAGCTTAACATATTGTGCAATGTAAAACTGTATAATATATGTAGGGTTGGGGCGATAAAATAAACATCTACATCAACTTTAATTACTTTATATCTCACCCTTAATCCTATTATAACAAGATATCGTTTTTTACTTCTTTTTTTTTTCGTTTTTAACATAGAAATGGTTATCTTTGTTTATTTCTACATTCACTCCAATCAATCATATGTCAGTCAAATCATTCACCCTAGTCATCGTTTAGAAACAACTTTCTGACATCTTCGTTTGGGAACACGCACACATCCCACATGTATATAAGTTGTACACAGTTTATAATGTATACAAGTTGTACTCAGTTTATAATGTATACAAGTTGTACACAGTGTGTAATGTATACAATTTTATAATTTTATAATGTATACAAGTTGTACAAAGTTTATAATGTATACAAGTTGTACACAGTTTATAATGTACACAAGTTGTAGACAGTAGTAGGTGTACAGGTGTACAGACCCTCTCCCTGGTGGCCTGGTATCGCAGATGCAGCGCGGTGGGCTCCCAGTCGATGGCGAGCAGCAGGCCGCGCCGCCGCGCCGCGCGCAGCGCCCCCATCGACAGGTACGACACCTCGCCGCAACCCATCTCACCCTGAAACATATGGAAATTATCATTTTTTTATAAATACAAATATGAACAAGATATTATCGTTTAGGTGTACATGGAGGAGACGCATAAGAAGAGGAAATATCCTCTTTATGTGCGTCTTCTCCGTCAATGAAGGGTAACGCATCCGATATTTCTAATGTCTATGGGTAGAGGACGTTTCGCCATTCTGGCGGATTCAGGTGGGCACTTGCTCGTTTGCCACCTTATAATATTTATAAAAAAAAAAAAACAAAATGTAACAAATTGAGAACAGCACCAATCATCGACGACCATAGATATCTGCAATATAGTTTTCTTGGTAAATATGATTCAAATGTAAATTAAAATGCATTACCGCGGCATCACTGGCGTGCCGGGCGCTGGACTGTCGCTGCAGCTTGGCGCGCGCGGCTGGAGAGCCGCCCGCCAGCGCGCATCCACTGTCCACTGACACCTGCGACTCTGCACAACACAAACTGCATTATATACTGAAACACGTGAATTATATTAGCACAAACATTAACTAACGGTAATCGCTTCTCCAATCACCTAAGGGACTTTTTTTTAGTATAGCCATAATAAACCAAGCTGGCCCAATGTAGGCTGGTTAACTTCACCAAATATCTATTGAAAATATATTGAACTGATGATGTTTCTCCAATCGGTAAACATTAAACTGTATCCAGCTCGAAGGACCATTTTACAATTACAACAATTTATTTATTAATTTAGCAATAGCTGTAGTTAATCGAAAATACTACGTGTTCTGTGGGATTTCAGTCAATATTTATAGAACTTGGCGCATTAGTATCTCACCGTATATATGCGTGTCTTGTATGTCTGTTTGCATGTCTGCCTGCGTGTCCGTGTGCGTGTCAGCGAGCAGCGGCTTGTGGTCGCTGGGCAGCGCGCAGCCGCGGCAGAGCGCGGGCCAGGCGCACAGCGCGCACCACGCCCCGGACCCGCACACTAGACGCAGCGTGAACGGGAACTCGTATCCCAGGCTGTCGTCACTGAAATATGTATTTGATTTATTTGATATAACTAACGTGATTATTACGCGAATTTAAAAACATACTTAATTAACATAAGTATTTTGCCAGATTATTTTTACATTATCATCGAGATCTTCTGTAGTAAATAAGATGAAATGGACATGAACAGGACATCTGTGGGCTTATAACTACTACTTTAGGAAAATTTCAAGTAGTCAAAATTGTCAATCATCATTTATATGTGAAAATTCCTTCTATTTTTATACGATAAAGTGAAAAAGAGCCTGAATTTATCAAAATACGAAGCGACAGCTGTCCATAGACTTCTTCCCTTAATCGACAGATGTGTATAATGACGATTACCCCTTCCCATACTTTCGTTATAAAAAAGGGTGGAAAAGGGATTAAAACTAACCTAAAATTATTAAATATAACTGTATATATAATACAAAGTATATCTGACCAGTCGGCCGCGTGGTTGGGCAGGTCCCTGTGTGCGTGGGGCGTGTGGGGGGGGCGCGGTGGGCGGGGCGACAGCAGGCGGGCGAGCTGCGCCCAGACGCGCGCGTACAGCTCGCGGCCCGGCTCGCCCGCGCGCACCGCCACCGCCAGCGGCACGCCGAACAGCGCCGGCCGCACGCGCTGCCACGGCAGGAAGAACGCGTCCGCGCGGCACTGCTTCCTACCACAAATATATACAAGATAAACAACACTGCTGAGAAATTTGTATACAAAATTAAAATTAAAATTCTTTATTGATCCAAAACAGTTTTGTAGTCAGTGGGAATCTGTCTCTCAAACTAGTAACGACTGTGTTTCAGGAGGCAGGGCCTTCTTTTAACGATTAAAATACGTTATATGTGTAAGGTATCAAACATTTTCATACTTAATTTTATAAAATTTAATGCCAATCTATATCTGTACTAATATAATAAAGCGTAAACACACACTACTGCGTGGCATAGGATGTCAGCAATCAAAGTATGTTTTTGAATAATTCTCTGTTTAACAAAAAGCCTTACACTTACGACACACTTTAGGCTATTATTTTTAACGCTTTAAAATTTAAGGGGTTAATAATTGAAAAAAAAAAACCCTTCATGTGGAAATGGAACCATAGACTTCAAACTACCAACATAAGGAAGCAAGGTTGTCATGGTAACGGTAATTATTATATTATCTAATGTTGACCTTTGTCGTCATTTGTGAATTTAAATGTTGACATTAACAATTGTAAGTTTTGCAATACCACATTTACATAAAACATGCGTGAAGAGTAAGTAAGTTATTCTGAATTTTGTCTAAGAATTATTGTAACGATGGATAAGTTCAAGTTAATTCAATGTACCTTATTAATAAGTAGTAAAAAGGGAAGATTTTTTTTACACATAAGAAATCAAAGTCTTTCAGCCACTCACCTATGCACTGCAATCAAATACTGTATAGGAGGTCCATCTATCTCATCCATCTTGTACATATCGGAAGGGGAGGAGGCGAACTTGACTTTGGAGAGGGGCGGGGCGGGGGGCGGCAGGGTGAGAGAGCGCCGCGCCCCCGCGCCTCGCGGCAGCGTGTGACTCCGCCCCTCGCCCCCCAGCTCCGCCCCCAACTCCGCCCCCTGGCTGAAGGTGCTGGGCGGGCTCTGGGACATAAGAATTTCCGATCTCGAACGCTGAAAGACACATTTATAAGCAAGTCAACAAAAAGAAAGCAAATAAAATATAAAAAGCAACTCTATACGCGTATTTACAAGGTTTAATTTGTTTCAAGTAATAAACTACATTAAAATTAAAGCATTTGTCTAATTTTGGCAAAAAAAGTCTAGAAGTAAAAAGCTTTGTAAGATCTGTATTGTATTTCTAATGAAGATAGGCAAATAATAATTGTTTAGACAATGTAAAAATAGTTTTGTATAAAATATCTGTACATATTTATGAAGATATGGATATAAATACAAGACAGATCTTAAATTTGAACAGAAAACAGAAATCACCAAAAGTATGTACAGAAAAAAAATACAATAAACACTGCAGAAATGTCGGAAAAGAAAGCTAAATATATATTCGTACAAACAATTCCGACCAGCCTTGTTTTCCAACACCTCTTCAATATATTTTAAAACGCACAACATTTATGAGTTAGTAAACATTTAGTACCTTAGAAAAAAATTCAGCAACATTAAAGAAATTTAGGTTATAATTTCCAACAAACAAAATATTGCCGATTAAATTCTACAATACTAAAAGGTCAGTCTATAATTATTAAAACACAAACACAAACACAATTTTGATCCGAAATTGAGTAAAAAAAAAAACAACTGGCAACACTACAATGTCTCAGACTTTTTTAGTCTGTATTTCCTAGCGTTAATCTGTGATATTAAATGAATTAAAAAATGTCTACAATATGTTATAAATGGAATGATATTTGTGAAAAAATAGAAATTATTTTATTTGATTGCAGAAATCATTTAATTTACCTTGATTTTCGGGATGTAGACGAGGCATTTTAAACATGGCGGACAAAGTCGAAATATATTTAAATATAAATATCTGATTAATAAAAAAAATTAAGTTTTATCTGACAATTTCCTAATAATTAAGAAACGTTATATCTATGGTAGAAAACTAGAAAGAAAATTCTTTTTTCAATTATAAAATCATTTAAAAACGAATACGGATTAGACACAAAATGGATATGAAAATATGAAGGAATACGAATTGCATTAAGTATTTATAATAGTAATTTCTGTGTTGAAATAACGAAATTAATAAATTTAGTTGTCAATTTGCATATTTCTAATTTTTCATACAATCAAAGCATCGATACAATCTATACTTATAAAATAAAGAGGAAAGATTTGTATTTTTGTATGTATTCAATTCACGTAAAAACTAATGGGCCGATTTGAAAAATTCTTTCACTTTTAGAAAGGTAATTTATCTGTGAGTAACATAGGCTATTTCTTAATTTGACGCGGGCAAACTCGCGAGCTACAATTAGTTTATAATACAATTCGTAATCATTCATGTTTCATGCGTGCATGCGTGCGTGTTCGTGTATGCGTGCGTGCGCTAACCTTGAAGCAGAAGAGCGCGGGCATGCAGAGCGAGGCGGCGCGCACACTCACCGAGCCCGCTGCCCCGCCCCCGGCCCCCGCCCCGCCGCACGCCGCGCCCCCGGCCTCGCCCCCGCCTCCGCCCCCGCCGCACCACGCGCCCGTCTCGCCCCACTCTACATCAATAACACATCCAATTAGCCCCCTTTGCTATATTCTTGAATATAGTAAAATATAAAATTGTATAGAGATTTAGGTCGGATTATCAATGTTATCCCCCGTCATGTACTATCGCGGAAATTCGCGGTGTTCCACTTACAGAAAAATTGTCTTGTTCCTTACGAGACAAGCTCCGCCTCTTTTTACAAATAACCAATCAAATAACAGTGAGTTTTGCAAACGAGGAGATAATAATAAAAAGTTACTAGCAAAAGTTGTCTTAATACATTTAAACCGTTCAAACTATAGTTTTTTAGATGGAACACCGCCAGATAACCCGAATGTACTATAGATAAATAAATTGTAATTGATTACTAAGACAGCATTCATTACTATAAAAAAAGTGGTTTAAACTAATCTATACAAATAGTACAAAAAAGAAAAGATTTGTAATTTTGTATGTATTGAAATAACTCACTACTGGACCGATTTCAAAAATTCTTGGACCATTAAAAAGCTAAGTTTTTTTTAATTTCACGCTGGCAAAGTCGCTGGCAAGGTAGTAATATATTAGATGAGACCATGTGTGCCGTGCTGCGGCGCTGGTATCTCGTAGACGAAGAGCTCCGTGGCGCCGCTCGCAGTCAGCTTGGCGCCGTCCTCCGGCAGCCGCGAGATCGTCGCCCCCGACACCAGCGCCACCAGCATACTGCAAATATACAATATTACTATTATAAATGCGAAAGTTTACATGGATAGCTAACATCCATCATATCTGTAGTATATATGAGGGTATCTAATAATAATAATAATAATAATAATAATAATAATAATAATAATAAAGTCATTTAATCCATTCAGAAGGCAAACATCATACACTTAATTACACAGTTGACAAAAATAATGACGGAGGAAACGAAAGTTTTACAAACAACAACAAAATATATACAAATACACAATAATAAGCATCAATCAAAAAAATCATAACCTTTAATATTTTTTAAACTAAGTTTGCTATGCTGAATGGATAAGGCCTTTACTCAGCTATGTGCTTATTACAGTATAGCAATAAGCGCTGGTATTCTGTAAAAGCCTTTTGTGGCAGTACGTTATCTCAATATAATGTTCAGTGGTAGTGCCCGCTTTAACATGTTAGCAGTGCAGGGCCGGCACGTCCCCAATACCACGACCACACAGAAGACAGGCGTCAAATGGACGCAATTCCGTGTTTCGTCTGATGAGTGTGTACCCTTTTCTTATAAGAAGAGGTTGGGAAGAGGAAGTGGATTTGACGGTGAAGATGCATAGGAAGGGGAAATATCTTTATGTGCGTCTCCTCCTCCGTCGTATAAGGGTCGTACAACGCATCTGCAATTGCGGATGTCTATGGGCAGCGGTCGCTTCGCCATTTTGGCGGTTTCAGGTGGCCGTTTGCTCGTTTGCCACCTTATGTTATAAAAAAATATATATATATGAGGGTATCTCAATGTAATGTACCGGCCGCTTACGCATAATAAATTAGTCCATTACCAACCGCCGTTTCATGAACACCCCTACATTACATTGGGACGAGCTAAGCTCACGTGACGTCATCAGTTCAGCAATTTAGACTACAAACTTTAGTTTTGTTGAACGGATCTCGATGATTATAATCTATACTTAAAAATAAAGAGGAAAGATTTGTATTTTTGTATGTATTGAAATAACTCAAAAACTACTGGGCCGATTTTAAAAATTCTTTCACCGTTAGAAAGGTAATTTATCTGTAAGTAACATAGGCTATATTTTTTAATTACACGCGGGCGAAGTCGCGAGCAACAGCTAGTAGATGATAATCTGGAAGAACACATAGGCTACTCACTTTGGTTTTCAATTCCACGCGAACGAAGTCGCGGGCGAAAGTTGGTTAATAAATCGAAGTTCTTTCCGACAAAATATATGTAAAACATAGGCATAGACAATTACATAAAAACGGATCAAGACAACTAAGTTTTCTGATCTCAAATTATGATAGCTCACTAGCGCCATTTTTACATTTTCTATATCCATGTAGATTTTATATATTTTCTGACAAAACTAACCAATAATTTCATTTCATCTTGACTATAATATAATACGGATCGTTTGCAATTTTTCACATTAATAAGAGGGCGCTAGTGAGCCAAATAGATTTACAAATTACACAGGAAAACAATAGAGATATTTCATAGTAGGGTAGGCAGAACTTACCATTCAGGTGGCAATCCGCATAATTCTGAGAGTTTCTTCTTCAAATCCAGATAAGTTCCTTCAGAATTCACTCGCAAACCGTATTTCACAGGAACCGAGCCATCCAATAATATAACTGTGGAATAAAACAATAGTTTATTTACATTTTTACGGGTAAATTAAAAAAACTTTTCTAGCAATTAACAATTCCTTGCTATAAAACAGTGGTAGAGGCAGCTTGAACATTTTTTTTACATAACAAGCGGGTACCTGAATATGCCGAAACGGCGAAGCAACGCTGCTCATAGCCATTCGCATTACAGATGCGTTGTCTACCCTTAATCGACGAAGGAGACGCACATAAAGAGGATATTTCCCCGTCCTAAGCGTCTCCTCCACCATCAAATAGACTTTTCCTTCCCATCCCTTCTCTGAGAGAAAATGGATAGAAAGGGAATTAAACCTCGGTCACCACACTCATCAGGCTGTACGCGGAATTGCTCCCACTTCACGCCTGTCTTCTATGTGGTCGTGGTTGCACCGGGCGAGCCGGCTCAATCGTGCGAAGATGTTAAAGCGGGCTCTACCACTGTTAAATATGCACGTATACGTACGGTACGTTCGCATACGTGCGTTTACGTACGTATACGTACTAGTACGTATACGTGCGGTACATACTTATACGTGCGTGTACGTACGTATACGGTCGTCTACGTACGTACGTATACGTGCGGGACGTACCTCTAATCTCGCACCGCACGAAGGACTCCATGGGCAGCGGCAGACTGAGCATGTTGAAGGTGTCGAAGCGCACAGACTCGTGTCCGCACGCGTCGCAGCGCACCTTCGACTTCAGCTGGCCGTAGAACAGGTCCGTCATTATCGAGTCATTGCTCGCCGTGAACTGCGCCCACGCCTCCGCCGCCAGCTCCTGTACAACACATTTATATGTAAAATCGATTATATTTTTATTACTGGAGATCTAGTTTTATCTCATTTTGGACAATAGTGAGAGAGGACTGTGTCTTAGAGAAGACCAAAAACAAAATTTCTCATACACGAAAAGTTTGAAAAAATAAAAGTCACTGATCTCTACAAGAAGGTCGGTAAAATATTTTAGATCATTTAGGAAAGCAAAAATGTCAGGTATCACAATTAAAGAGTTTGGTTTAAAAATATTTGGCATTAAAAATATTTTTCATAATAGTGATAAAAGTTTAAATTGCCACGACTATCGCCAATATATTATAATAACGCGTAAACACACACTTTTTTTGTTGCCTAAGATATCAGCAATTACAACATATTTTTGAACAATTCTTTTTTTAATAAAAAGCCCTACACGTAGGTCACGCTTTAGGCTACATATTTTAGAGCCATTAAACTTAGGGGGTAAATATTTTGGATAAGAACCCTAATGTGGGAAAGAGACCATAAGCTGCTGCCAACATCAAGGAAGCAAGATTGTCATCATGTCATTTTGACATTTGTAATTGATAATTTGACAAATGTAAACTATAAAATAAAATTTTCATAATTTCATGCGGATGAAGTCGCAGGGGAACAGCTTGTCTTGAATAAATGAGATGCAAAGATTATTTATAAACTAGTGACCTGGTCCGGCCTGGTGGGCGGGGGCGTGTCCACTTGCTGCGGGGGCGTGTCTGTGGGCGTGGCCGGGGCCGGGGGCGGGGGCAGTGCGCGGGGCGGCGCTGCTCGGTTGAGGTCCTCATGCAGCGCGTCCAGCAACCATGCTAGAAGTTCCTGTGCATCATGCTGCTCGCCGCCAGCCAGACCACGCGCGTGACGCGACACACACCAGCGCACGCGCAGCGGAGCTACCGAACGCGCACTGCACGACCACACCTGTACACAACACTTACTACTTTAGACCCAGAGTTAAAATAGTCACCTAGGGCCTGTCCCAGCACTGGCTGATACAGATAGCTTAAAAATGAAGTCACAAGGTAACAAAATCCGATATTTGCATCACATATTTTAAACGTTGGATTGTTATCAGACAATTTACAATTTGGTGGGTGGGCTCTTAGTGTTCGTAATAAAAACTAGATTAAAAAGCATCCTTAGTGATCACTAAACGGCTCTGAGTACGCATACAAATGATTATACTCTAATTCTGTGTGTCTAGTAGTTGTATTTAACTGATGAATGCCAGTAAAACATTTTTTTTTGAAGCAAAGATTTGTTGCACGCAATCACAATACCAGAACCATACAAGACAGGGGTCAAGAAGAAGCAGTGGTATTGCCCGCTTTAACACCTTAGCACGAATAGGCCAGCACACCCGGTGTAATACCACGACCACACAGAAGACAGGCGTCAAATGGAAACAATTCCGTGTTTCGTCTGATGAGTGTGGTGCCGGAGGCCTAATTTTAGTCCCTTTCTCTTTAACACCCTTTTCTCACAAAAAGAGGATGGGAAGAGGAAGTGGATTTGACGGTGGAGGATACGCATAGGAAGGGGAAATATCCTTTTTATGTGCGTCTTCTCCTCCGTCGGATAAGGGTAGGTAACGCATCTGCGATCGCGGATGTCTATGGGCAGCGGTCGCTTCGCCATTTTGGCGGATTCAGGTGGCCGCTTGCTCGTTTGCCACCTTATGTTATAAAAAAAAAGAAGCAATTCTGGATGAAGAAAGGGAAAGGGAAATTGGATTAGACAGTGAAGTAGACATCGTTTAAAGGATTCGAGATATGGTCCTTTGAGGCGAATACGTACCTCTTTGCAGAGTTCTCCGTAGCGCAGCGCGAGTGCGCCCTTAGTGCCGAGCGGGTTGGTCGTGTTCACCTCGTACAGGTGCATGCCAGAGTTGAAATAGCGGGTCAGGGGGCCCGTGTTCCACACCTGTAATGTATTTACGAATATATTTACATGGATATGAGAAATGTCCAGTTTTTCGATTCTTAGTTAACCTAAATAAAGGTTTAATCATAGTTATTTTTCCTTCCCAATCTTTTTTACAAGAAAAGAGTGAGCAGGGAAAGAAAGACAAAGAAAAATGATATCATCTTTCCGTGCTGCTTCCCATTTTCCGTAAAATAAAGGTAGATAACGCGTCTACAATTCCGAATGATAAAGAAAAAAACAATCGTCCTTTTGTATATAAAATGGGCATCATTAGAGTTATCGTGAAAGTATAACATCGAATTATGTTTGCATGCGTGTACGTAGATACGTGTACGTGAGTCTACGAGTTTGTGTTCGTATACGTGTGCAAGTGTATTCGCGTTCGTATACGTGCGTGTTCGCGTTCATGTGTGTTCGTGCGTGTTGGTGTTAGTGTCGGTGTACGTACGGACTGCAGCGCGGCGTTCATGAAGCAGGTGTTGCCGAGGTTGTGCAGGCCGGTGGCGCCCGCCACGTCCGGCGCGGACAGCGTCTCGCGCCGCTCCACGCCGCGCCCGCCGCGCCCCCCGCTCATACTACGATAACACATTTCAATCATAATCACTGAAGGGTTACACTTCGTTGATACACACAGTAGAACCCTGATGAGTTAAAGTCCAAGGGAAAATATTTTAAACTGTAGAGGTTTTGGGCTTCGATGGGAAGGGAACATATTATTTTCTGAAGTTATAGAGGTTTTTAAGTTATCGAGGTTCTTCTGCATCTCTAAAAACATATTGCTATTGGAAAGGAAACATACATTTGTTATAATTTTATCTTCAATTTTAACGGAACTTTCATTTTTTTATCTTATTTACTTCGCTATCATTACGCTACTTGTAATAACACTCCATTCCTAAATCAGTTTTATTAACAGAAATCTGATAATTCCTACACGAGCGTTTCCAATACCAATCTAATTAGAGGACGATCGTGTCCGTTTCCCCTTCCCTATAAAAATAAATATGTTTAATTCTGTTATTTTAATATTGTCGTTGAACTACTCGAATTGGGATGCATTTAGTTTGTGTAAAACTAGGTAATTCAGTGTTAGTGCAGTGTTTGTGTAGTGTTACCTGAGGGCACCAATCTCCTCCGGCCAGGTGAGGTCCGGGTTGCGCAGCTCCAGCAGCAGACGGGAGCGGTCCCGCTCGTGCAGACGCAGGTCGTGCAGCGAGGGCCGCTCGTCGTCCAGCAGCAGCGCGCCGCCCGCGCCGCCCGCGCCGCCCCCCGCCCCGCCCACCGACCACAGACGTACGTCCTCGCGCGCCAGCCCCAGCGCCTCGCATAGGAACTCCGTCACCTAGGCAATGTTATAACTAACTATTGTCTAGATGTGTTTTATTGGAACCTTGGTCGTAGGTGATCATTCGAGAATGACAAAGTAGTTCTATGTTGCAGTAACACTTTGGAGGCATAGGTAGAGTTTACAAAGGTTCCGGTCTTGTAAATTTTAATTGGTCTGGTAATGCATAATCCTGCCTTCCCCCAAAAGGGCAAGGTTTCTTTGGGAGATTTCCCCTCATCACCAAAAAAATGCGTGTTTTATTACAAAACATATTGAATTTTAAAGATTGCGATAAGCTAGCAATTGATGGTAAATTGTCAATTTAATTTTCGCCCGCGACTCCGCGTGGAATAATAAAATAAGTAGCCATGTGTTCTTCCAGACTATTCTCTACATCTATGCCAAATTTCATCAAAATCCGTTCAGACTAAAAACTCTAACAAATTTCCATTCATACATCTAAACTTTTGAATTTATAATATTCCTAAGTTAAACTTTACTTACTAACTTATTTGCTGCGTTGGCGCTGCGACCCAAAGTGGGTTTTGGCCTTCGACACGAGAGAGCGTGTCGAAAGCCAACTTAAGTTGAAGTTTACAGGGCGTTTATAGGGGTTAGTATTACCTGTCTGACGGTGGCGAGGCGGGAGAAGGCGGCGGTGTAGGCGAGCTGGCGGTCGGGCGGCGCGGGCGCGGCCGGCACGCTGCTGTACAGCGCCGCGCCCGCGCCGCCCACGCCCGCGCCCACGCCCACGCCCGCGCTCACACCTACACACATCAATTCCTCAGAATACCCCCCAAAGGACTTGAAAACCCTAAGTTACTACAGTAGGGAAGACTAGCGGTGTGCCACCTTTAACGACAGAGGGTTTGTAGCAAAATAATATATGCCACCAACACACAAGAATCAAAATCACATGTATTTACTCTCGTAATTCAGTAGATTTTTTTTAATTAGTTGTTGGTCACTAGACACTACCAAATAAAGAGTTAAAACAATTGCTTGAAACATTCGCGACGCGGCATAAAAATCAATACAGAAAGAGCCTGTCCCACTGGCTGATAGAGGCTCAGATAGCTTAAAAATGACGTCACTGCAACAAGACAACAACTGTAACAAAATCCGATATTTCTATCACATTTTACACGTTGGATTGTAATGTGGAACACCGCGGATTTCCCCGACTGTACAAATATGCCTAAATTGCAAGATTAATTAGAAAATAAACTCACGCGGTGTACTCGGTACGTGGCGGAGAATCTTTAACTGCAGCGGGTACAGTTCCATCTCGACATCAGAATTGGGTGGCCTGATAACCTGGAAGGAACATCTATTAGCTTACTGTAATTTGCACTAAGCGGCGAATCTGAGTATAAATTACCTGTCTGGGCAGGGGGTCTGGTCCGCCGTACCAGAGCGCCATTGCCCGCCATAGCGAGTCGGGCAACAGTTCGAAGTCCCTGTGCTGGGCGAGAGTGACGTCACGTCGTAAATGCCCGCCTTCTCCCGTCAGTGTCCGAACCTATACATAAATACTAACTTAAACCAATCACTTCTGCTAAAATCAAATAAAATATCTATGGTACAAAAACTTGTTAGTAAGGAGTTTTTCACTGAATTTATGTAGGCATATTTTATCTATGACTTTTTGTAGTCTGTCATTCGATTTGTATTCTCGAATGTTGTAAGTAGTCTTGGGTAAATGAGCTCAAACTAATGATCTGCAGATCAGCTCACGGTTATAGGTGAATCATATCAGTAAAGTGTCCCACAGATCAGCTCAATTTGTAACTGTATAGAGCTATAATTGAATAGAGTTGCAAAGCACCGGCTTGTTCGCAGTTCGTCAGGTACCATATAGTATTTGACCTTGAGCCATTAGCTGATTATTTAGTTGTTGAGCCGTAGCTCAACGATTCAAGGTAACCTTTTGAATCGATTCGAAGCTGATATATAAGAGTATTGTAAGTCTATGATTTTAACTTGAAAACGTGTCGTGTCCATCCTTCAAAACAATCACAGGGTGATTCTTAAGAGACAGATCACAACCTTTGTGATAATAAACGGCATTTATTCTTTAGTGTAAAAAAAAACAACTTTTAAACTATAGAAAATCGGGCAACATACTTTGTGCTCAATTAGCTATTGACGTCTCCTTGTGATCCGTCAGTTAAGAATCAACCTGTATAGTGTAGTGTACCTTTAGGTCGTCTCTTGCCAGCAGACGCCTGTTGTCTATAGGCCCGGGGTGCGGCGGCGAGCGGTGTGCAGGGGCGCTGCTCACCCCACTACTGCTGCCCGCGCTGCCACTGCCTAATGACGACGTCTCCGCACGCCATAGTAGGGACCCCATTGATTCTAATATGTACAAATAAGTTTGTACTGTTAAAAAGCTACGTTATCACTTAGTAACACACTATTTATAATTATTTAATTCACGCGAACGAAGTCGGGAGCAACAGCTATCTCATAATGTACTTATCTAAATTATTTCACTCTTATAAGTATGTATCATAGAATTTTACTAATATTATAAATGCGAAAGTTTAGATGGATCGATGTTTATTAGAGTTTGTAGTCTAAACGACTGAACGGATGTCGATGAAATTTGGCATAGACGTAGAGAATAGTCTGGAAGAACACATAGGCTACTTTTTTATTCAACGCTGACAGAGTCGCTTACGATAGGTAGTTATTAAAACATTCTTGTACCATCAATGAAACTTTCTATAACACAAGTTTCTTTCAAGTCTATTGAAATAACATAGTTATAGTTTCTTGTAGAATTATCGCTAGATGTAACGTAATAGAAGATTAATGAGCTCGAGGTATTTACGACATTATTGTAAATATTACAAAGTTGATGAAATTAGATAAAAATAAATTAGATCGCCGATAAGATCTTGATAATAAAATTAGGTTACACGATTCTTAATACTTTTTTGCATTCCAAAGGCATTTTAATCTGTTTATATTAATCTATACTATTATAATAAAGCGTAAACACACACTTCTTTGTTGCCTAAGATGTCAGCAATTACAGCATATTTTTTAATAATACATTTTTTAATAAAAAGCCCTACACTTGCGTCACGCTTTAGGCTATATGTTTTAACGCCATTAAACTTAGGGGGTAAATGTTTTGGGTAAAAATCCTAACGAGGGAAAGAGACCATAAGTTGCTGCCAACATCAAGGAAGCAAGTGATTGCTAAGGTTTGTCATGTAATGTCATTTTGACATTTGCTATTGATAATTTGACAAATGTAAACAATAAAATAAAATTTTCATAATTTCAAGTGTACCACTCTTAGGGGCTGCCTCACCACTGTCTGATAGAGGCTCAGATAGCTTAAAAATTATTTCACCGTCAGATAAGGCAAGAAAATCTGATATTTCCATCACATATTTTACACGTTGGATTGTTATTAGACAATTTGGTGGGACAGGCCCTTAGACTTTGGTTATTTACCTGTAGAGTTACTAGTGAAGCTCTCATCACAGACGATAGCGTCATCTATAGCACGAGGCGTGTTCCGGCAGCAGTTGTCCCCAGCCGCCGTGTACGCCGCCCATGAGGCCCACCACTCGCTTCCCACAAGGTACCAAAACTGGCCCACGGAGTACCCGCGAGCTGTTTCACGTCGTAGCCAGCGGATTACTGCAAAAAAAGGTATGGTTTTGAAACCAAAAGACAAATAATAGAAGGATAATGGTCTTTGGTTACTAAGTCATGCTGCCATTTTACTAAGTAACTTATTAAGTAAGCATCAAGACGGCTGGTTGTTAAAACACATGTAATAAAAAAATTAACTAATATAAATGCGAAAGCTTAGATGGATGGATGTTTGTTAGTGACGCTAAACTGCTAAACGAAACTCGATAAATTGGCATAGATGTAGAGTATAGTCTGGAAAAATAAATAGACTAAGATTTTTATTTAATTCCAAGCGGAGTCGCAGACGAAATGTAGTGTAATAATTATACTAGTATTTATAATGTTTAATTCCATATTTCTACTACCCTTTAATAGGACATGTGCGTCAACAAACGTCGTTGACCTATAGATTTAAATTGGTCCTGTCGAGCACGATTCGTACTATCTATCAATTAGTATTGGGGGCGCGTCACGCGTGTAACCTTATTGTTTGTTTGTTCCAATTAGTGTATTGTGTACATCGATAACATAGTTACGGTAACCGTGTAGTTTATCGTTGAATAACCATTGTAAACTACCGTACTCACACGTTATGTGACAGCTAAGGAAACATAGACGTAGTATAAGTATTCTGATATTGCTATTAAACAATGACAGTAAATAACGTTGCAAAAATTCGATACTGTTTACGAACAATCAATTTAAAGTATAATGTTAAGTTATATAACACGTGACTACTCGCGAGATACTAGGACAAACAATTGAATTACACCACATTTCAAAATCCATCAGTAACTTTAGAGCGTGCCCACACCTTTGACTAAACTTTGTCGATTGTTTCACAGCCAATTCAACTGTTTAGTTGCACAACTAAATATCGAGTAGTGTGCTCCTCCATATGAAGTCATAGGAAGCAAAGCGCCACTAAACAGTTGTGCGATAGTTTACTCAAAGGTGCATGCTCTTAGTCTTCACGACCTCGCAGTGAAAACCGAAAAATAATCTAGCAACCGGACATATAGGATTCACCAAACATTCTATTGTTTATTTTGTCAAATGTACATCATAATCATACTAATACTAATATTATAAATGCGAAAGTTTAGATGGATGGGTGGATGAATGGATGGATGGATGGATGTTTGTTAAAGTATGTAGCATAAACGACTGAACCGATTTCGATGAAATTTGGTATAGATGTAGAAGATAGTCTGGAAGAACACAGAGGGTACTCGCTTTTATTTCTTTTAATTCCACGCAGACAGAGTCGCGGGCAATAGCAATATAATAAATGTATAGTAATATAGTAAATAGTAATATAATAAATGCCAAAGTTTAGATGGATGTTACTATATTTCTCCAAAAAGACTCAATGAACCTTCTAAAATTTGCCATAGATGTAGAAAGTATAATAGTTTGAACACATAATCAAATTGTATCTTTTTACCCCGGAAGTAGTCGCGGGCGACAGCTAGAATTCTTTTTGTCAATATCAATTTAGTTCCTCTTATCCTGAGTGTGTCAATTATTATTTGATCTCAATATTACCAATACGTGTGCTTAAAAACTAGAAACATAGTAATGATAAGTTATCAATTCAAATTTATCAATGTAATCGAACTAAACATTAAATATCAAGATAAAGTGAATTTTTATAATAATCTATTGAAACATACTTAATATAAATGCGAAAGTTTAGATGGATGGATGTTTGTTAGAGTTTGTAGCCTAAACGGCTGAAGGGATTCCGATGAATTTTGGTATAGATGTAGAAGATAGTCTGGAAGAACACATAAGCTACTCACTTTTGTTTTTTTAATTCCACGCAGACGGAGTCGCGGGCAAAAGCTAGTCCTTCATAAAGAAAAATTTACATGAAATTATAATTACGATAAAACAATGAAATGATAACGGAAATGCATTCTTTGTGCAGTTTGATAAAATTGCTGATAGATATATTTTTTGTTAGTGATAACAATAATCCTATTTTTTAATATTTGTCTGTCTGTTCGCGTTGCTTCCGGGTAAACTCCGATACTGTTGGATTTTGACAAGACTGACGGGAATATAACTGATTTCTGCGGGAATGTTATAGGCTATTGTTTTATTAATAACTAGCTTTCGCTCGCGACTCCGTCCGCGTGGTATTAAAAAAACCAAGTAGCCTATATGTTCTTCCAGACGAACCTCTACATATATGCCAAATTTCATTGAGATCCGTTCAGGAGTTTAGGCTACAAACTACAAACAACCATTCATCTAAACTTTCACATTTATAACATTAGTATGATTTGCTACCACCGTTGGTAACATAATATAATTATTTAGTATTACTATATTCATATCTTTAATTTATTAAAAAAAATAAAACATATTATATAAAAAAATAGAAGTCCACCGGCTGCGGAAGCCGATGACTCAAGCAACCAGTGGTCAGGGCTGCAGACACAGGAACCTCCTCACTATTCGTGCAGTTTCCAAAATAACCGCCTTTTGTATCGGGCCCTTAATTCATATTATTATGAAAAAGCTTATCGATTATTGCTACTAAATATAAATTGAAGTCAAATTTAAGACATGACATTTTTGTTTAGTTAAACGAATTAAACATTTATTTGTTTTCCAGTCTTACTTTGTAATATATCTTAAAAGTCTGACAGTCAGGGTTAATATAAATATATTTCTATACTTATAAAAAATTAAAATACAACGTCACTCTTAATGCTTTTTAAATAAACTTGAAATTATCATCCGTGAATATTTATTAATTCAAATTTTAAATTAAAAATTCCAAGGTCCTTTATGTTTCCGTATTTTATGAATGACAAAAATAAAATCGCATTTTACGTCTCGAGGAAGAATTATAAATGAAGTCGCGGGTAAAAGCTAGTATAAATGTAGACAAACAGCTATCTTTGTAAACATAGCCAATGTCGTCATACAATTATGACTATATTTAGCTTCATATTTACGCTAAACTATTGTTATCTTGCATTTAAATTTGCACAGCCTTATCCCAGATATGAAGGTAACGAATACTGATTACAATTAATACAAAGATATTCAAATATAGATGAGAAACTATGACACTATCGGACGATTTTTTTTAATATAAGATGGCAAACGAGCAAGCGGCCTGAATCCACCGAAATAGAAAGCGACCGCTGCCCATAGACATCCACAATTGCAGATGCGTTACCTAACCTTAATTGATGGAGGAGGAGACGCACATAAAGAGGAAATTTTCCCTTCCTATGCGTCACCCCCACGGTCAAATTCACTTTTTCTTTCCTATTAAGAAAAGGGTGGAAAGAAGAAAGGACTAAAATTAGGCCACAATTTAAGCCCTTTCTTTTTAACACCTTTTTTATAAGGGGAGGATGGGAAGAGGAAGTGGATTTGACGGTGAAAGTGACGCATAGGAAGGGAAAATGTCCTATTTATGTGCGTCTCCTCCTCCGTCAATCAAGGGTAGGCAACGCATCTGCAATTGCGGATGTCTATGGGCAGCGGTCGCTTCGCCATTTTGGCGGATTCAGGTGGCCGGTTGCTCGTTTGCCACTTTATATTTTTTAAAAAAAACAACAGTTGTGCGATTGTTGTTTTGCAGTTGCAAAACAATCGTCAGTCTCACAAAATAGCTATTCAACTGTTTAGTTGCACAACTAACAATCGTGGTGCGGACTTATATATAAGCTCATAGGAATCAAAGCGAGACTAAACAGTTGTGCGATAGTTCAGTCAATGGTGTGCACGTTCTTACTTGAAACAGCAATCTGTTGGTAAATTGTCAAAACCTAAAATAAATGTATTTCAACTGTTTGTAGATGCCATGAAATAGAATATTATAAATGCGTAGTTTAGATGGATGTTTGACGGATGGAAGTCAAACTAAATTTGATCCAAACAAGGAGAAGCCTCGACTATAAACAAAATTCATGTATCCTCAAACTTCTACGTAAATAGGTTAAAAAACCGTTATACTACCTGGTTTGTATACAATTTGAAATTCAATGTTACCAATTTAAATTTCAAAAAACGTTCAACGGATATGGGAAGAAAAATATAAATATTTCAAAACTAAGAATCAATTTAAATCAATACAAATGTTAACATTCAGAAAATAGAGTATGTTTAATGCATTGTTAGAGTGGTTTCCACTGTTTTAGCATTTGTTTTACGGTTATATCCATCTCTGTTATTCTCTATTAAGAAAAGAGATAGCAATAGTATTTGTGTACAAATGAATCGACATTTATCCACGGTTACGTGAGTCTGTATGCTGTAGAAACCAACGGTTACTTAATATATCGCTTTATTTCCTAATAAAACTTTATTATTAATATAAATGCGAAATTTTAGTTGGATGGATGTTTGTAGCCTAAACGACTGAAAATGGCGTTAAAAATGGCGGGAAACCGCGCCATATTGGTATCAAATCGCTCACGTTATCTGCGCGGGCGGACGCACTTGACACCGATACCTTCGCCTTGTTTCGCGCGCTACTTAAATAATTCTTTTTATGATATTTGCATACATCTCTTATGAAAGTTAAATTTACAAAACAATGAACTATAGATATGTTGATTCATTACGTTTGAATTTTGCAGACAGATACGAAAATCTGTTATTAACAATTTGCAATGGCTATAGAAAGTAATGATTTAAAAAAAAATGTATTGTATAGTTAAATGCATGGGTGTGGCCAGCCCATAACAATGATAGTGGGGGGGGGGGGCTAGTAGCAATTTTTTTTTATTCCAAAGAGAACATTTATCAACATGTTCAATTTTTTTATCCAGCTTAGTTTTTTAATTTTCCCCTTTGGCAAAGACCATAATGCATCTAAATATTGCTATAGAGTATTTAAATACTGACCGATGTCCCTCTCGTGATGTCTACACTGTGGTCGTAGACCAAGCACCACATGGCATACATCGAACACCAACTCCAGTAGTGGGGTGAGCAGTCGTTCAGCACGCTCCACCGCCCACATGAGGAACTCTTCAGCAGTCAGCGCCGCGTCTGATGCGATAAGACTTTCGCAATCCGAATCCTGGTAAAACGACATTATATTTATCGATATATATTTACACACTACTTTGTAGCGTAGGATGTCAACAATCACAGTACATTTTTGAATAATTCTTTTTTTAATAAAAACGCCTACACTTTCGACACGCTTTAGGCCAAATATTTTCACGCTATTAAACTTTGGTAGTAAATAATTTGGAAAAATCGTCATGCGTGTAAGGGACAAAAACTACAAGTCGACAACATTATTATGGTAACGGTTATTTTGAAATTGCAATGGAGATTGACAAATGTAAACAATAAAATAACGATTTTATAATTTTATGCAGGGACAGCACGGGAACAGTTCGTAGTTCTTATACCTATAGTCAATCTTTAGTACAACTTTGTACGTTATCAATAAATACAGAAGGCACAATTGGCAATCAAGTGTTGCGGGATCTCGGACAGATTAAATGATACGGTCCCCGATGACGTCACTACGCTACGTCAATCAGATATTGCATTATCAATGTCTTTACCTTCGTTTTAACTCTAAATGATAAGTGTTGTTAAAAGAAATTTCTAGATTTTATAACAATTTTGTATAAAGCAATTAAATTTCAACATAATCCAATGAGTATTGACAATAAAAAAAAAGAGTTTGTTCGTTTGAATACGAAAAACTATAACCCTGATATTGGGCAAAAAACTGAAAACCACAGGATATTATAATCTAAAAACTGACCTCTTTAATATCGACCAATTCCTCTTCTATTTTCCCGGATTCGTCAACTGAAATATTAGGTCCTAGTTGAAATATTGGCTTGCTTCCATTCTTCGGCAGGCTCACCAGTTTATCTCTCAAGTTTAGTAGCACTACTTCTGGATCAAAGCTTTTATCGGCTTCTGATTCATCTGATGGTGTGGATGCTCGTGAGTTCTGCTGCTTGAGGGACTCATTGGCTACCGTGCAGAGTATCCCCACCATATCGATTAGTTCCTTCTTGTTTAAAACCCCATCCCGATCTAGGTCGAAGATTTTGAAGCAAACTACGATAAAGAAAATCAAATGATAGTAATAGTGATACTAATATTATGAATGCAAATGTTTAGATTGATAGATAGATGTTTGTTAGAGTTTGTAACCTAAACAGCTGAACGGATTTCGATGTATTTGGTATAGATGTAGAGGATAGTCTGGAAGAACACATAGGCTACTCACTTTTGTTTCTTTTTTAATTCCAAGCAGACGGAGTAGCGGGCGTAAGCTAATGTAGCAATATCACTTTGTATAATGTTTCTTATAATCAACTAGCTTTTGCCCGCGACTCAATCCGCATGTAAATAAACATTTAATTACTTCTATTATGCTAAATTTCAGCGAGATCCGTGACCCGTTCTGGAGATACATAGTAACAAACATCCATCCATCTAAACTTTCGCATTTATATAAGTAAGATAATTCTGGAAGCAAAGAATATTTCTACTATGTAAAGAATACTTATATGTATTCTTGATATTTGTGTACAATTCAAAAAAGGTATCTAATGCCAGTTATTTTGTATTTTCCATATACATTCAGATTACGTATATTGTCACAATTTAAGGGAATACCAGCCACAAACTGAACGTTTTGCTACATTTCATCATTCATTGTTTTAATAAGCGCAACAAAAACAGATTACATTTAAATCAAAGTTACATTTTAGTCACATTTTTACAATAAAGGCGGGAATACACGTGTCTGCAAAATGAGACAGTAGATTACATGCCAGTTTAAAAAACAACACTGTCGTTTTCTCCCTCAATTCGCATGCTTATAACTGTCACTGGGTTTCCGAAGTTGTCATTTATTTTATCATAACCTAGTGATTCATTAGTGTTAGGTTAACCTAAGTTACAAATGAGTAACACTCATGTTACTTAACTCAGAAACGTCTAAAATTAATCGAACTAATAACGCTAACGAATGGTTAAAAGTGTCTGGTAAACTGACCATAAGTCGGGTAAAGCCGTAGCTACTGGTATGCGTGTATCTGGCAAGTGCCAATAGCTTGCATGAAAGTGTACTAACTGCTAGCATATGTTTTCTCAGTTTCCACTGTTATAACATCCAAGCAAATTCTATCTCTATTATAGAGATAAAAGTATATTTTAACGTGAATATTTCAACCGTGTAAAAACACAATTAGAAGATCTAAATAATCCTACTCGCCAGTATATGTAATGTAACATCTAAATACTATAATAAATTATATTAAGAGCGCGGATATTTTTGATTAAGGCACAACTGTTGGTTACATTTTGATTCCCATGAATCAAAGTGCGCACACTCGATTTTTAGTTGTGCAACTAAACAGTTGAATTGGATGCGAAACAATCGACAATCGCACAACAGTGTGCGATAGTTTAGTCAAAGGTGTGCGCTCTTAGAAGATCTAAATAATTACATTCGCATCTACTGCAGGAGAACCAGGTGCAGGAGCCAAGGCTCATGAAATGTATATTTTTAAGAGTAAAATAATAAAGTATTTATTTATTTAATACGAGCCGTTGCCCGCGATTTCGTCCGCGAGGTATTAGAAAACATACAACTTATATAAATTACAAAAAGCTACGTATCCCTCGGGAACCTGACATTGCTCTGGGATGAAGCTTATCTCATGTGTACTCTAGATTATGTTTTCTATCTGTGCCAAATATCAATAAGATATGTTGAACCGTTGCAGAATGATCGAGTGGACATTAAAAAACTAAATTAATGAATCCCACGGGAACCGTAACTATGCCCGGGATAAAAAGTAGTCTATGTCTTCTTCCAGACTATGCTCTAAACCTGTGCCAAATTTCATGGAGATCCGTTCAGCCGTTTAGGCTACAAACGCTAACAAACATCCATCCATCTAAACTTTCGCATTTATAACATTAGTAAGAAGTAAGAAGTAAGATTTCTATTATATCTACATATAACTTTAAATACCGTAGTAAAATATATTTACTATTCAATCGTAAACGTTCAGTTATCGGTGTATAAGCAAATACAATAGTAAAAAACGACCCTCACAAGGTCGCACGTCCACTGGAAACCGAACTTCCGACATCTCCACGATAATAGAAACCAATCGTAAATAGCATCAATAGTTAATAAAAAAACAAAGATATCAACTTTGAAGTCTTAATTACAATTACATCTCAAGGTTAAACTGTTGTTTTAATTATCGATTGGATCAAAACGGCTTCAATTAAAAAGTTAACTACACCTAACATTTCAACTTTTAACAAATTTATCTTTAACTGAGGGTCGGCACAGTATGTGCTGCTCTTCCATACATCTCTATTAGCCGTCATATCTGAATACACTCCTTTCTTAAGCATATCCTCTTTCACACAATCCATCCATACTTTCTTCGGTCTTTCTCTACCTTTGTAGCCATCCATATACAATCTTAACACTTTCTGGTTTATGCCCCCATCGTCTCGTCGCATAACATATTAACAAGCAATAAATCATAAGTTTTTTATTTGGATCAGACCACTTTAAATTGAATTCCAACCAGCCAGTTTCAACAGCTGAACTGTTTAGTCAAAACGTAGGCAGAGGACTTTGTGATGTAGTAGGTACATGAATATAAGTAGTAACTAGTCTGTAAGTACCCAGCATTATGTACAATTCATCAGTCTGATTATACCCCTCGAACTTACGCATGTCTTTTATTTCGTACACCACAGACTTTACTGACATTAATCCAATAATCGTCATCAACCTCGCTACCAGCGCCCTAGGCAACGGCTTTCCTCTTTTCAGCACTTTTTGGGGCGAATAAAAATTGGGTTATCGAGTCTTTGATAGTTTGTTTATTCTTAATGCTAAGTTATGGACGATACTACCTCAGCAGACAAAGTCGTAAAATCTTTAGTAATTTTAAGTAAGGGCAATTCCCTTAGTGTCCATATATTTAATAAGCTAACTTTGGTCCTTACTAAATGTTTTGGAAAAAAACCCTTGACAGTCTTTGCAAATACATCACCCGCTTATGTCTCCACGGAGGAGCTCAGAGCCTACCCTAAGTAAGAGATGACTAGGTCATAGTCAACAACGCTGGCAAAGTGCGGGTTGGTTGACACACATCTTTGAATTTCTACGCCGATATGTGCAGGTTGCATCACAATGCTTATCTTAACGTAAGAAAATCGGGTAAATTATGTACATACGAATTTCGAAAATCGAAAATCGCATTGGTACATGCCAGGATTCGAACCCAAGACCTGTAAATTACAAGTCAAGTGCTTAAACCACTGAGCCACTGACAAATCTTTGCAAATACGCTTTTTTCCTATTCTATCTACTGATAAATAACTATGCCAGTTTGATTATACTACTTAAGAAAAACAAAAAACGTAACATAATTCGTCATTGAATTAATTTTAACCTTGACAGTGTAATTTATCTCTTAACATTCGCAATGAAGTCATACTCCATAATGTTCGAAACGATCTTTCTTCACGACGGAATAATTATGTAAATATGTATTTAGCACTTACTAAGATACAAATAAATAAAAAACGACTACCAAAAGGCTAAAATTTACACTAGATATTAGGCATGTTGGTAGAGCCCGCTTTAACATCTTCGCACCAATGGGCCGGCTCGCCCGGTGTATACGACAACACAGAAAACAGGCGTGAAGTGGAAGCAATACCGCGTTTCGTTTGACGAGTGTGGTACCGGAGGCCTAATTTTAGTCCCTTTCTCTTTCCACCCTTTTCTTAAGAGGAAAGGATGGGAATGAAAAGTGGATTTGACGGTGGAGGAGAACCATAGAAAAGGGAAATATCCTCTTTATTGTTGTCTCCTCCTCCGTCAATCAAGGATAGGCAACGCATCTGCGCTTGCGGATGTTTATGAGCAGCGGTTGTTTTTATTTGTGTTCCACACAACTGTTGTGCGATTGTCGACTGCTTCAACTGTTTAGTTGCACAACTAAAAATCGAGTAGTGTGTACTTCCATATCAGCTCATAGGAATCAAAGCGTTGTGCGATAGTTTAGTTGCAAGTGTGCGCACACTCTAATTATTTTTTTTTCGCAAGAGATAGTTTATTTACATTATGCCAAGATTACAAATTATAGTAAACTCTCAGCTAATTGATGGTACTGAAAATAGCTCTTTAAAAGACTATATATCCAGTCATCCAGATTGAATCCAAGGGGTCTACGAGCTGTAGGTGATCCAGGAAATTTCTAAAAATGACGGCTCGTTAGGTGCAGACATGAACGTGAACTAACATGTGTTGAATTTAAAACTTAAAACATGTAATAAAATTTAATCTTAGCAAAAATTGGTTTTTCTACGAAACCATTTAAGTTTTGAAAGGGACCTCTGATTAAAATGAAACTGCTACTATTTGTATAACAATTAGCGGTCACAATCCGTGGTAGTCGCGTGTCATACAAACGACATAACACAAATATAGATAAGCGATAAGATAACATAACATTGTCCAATTTATGCTTTCTAACTAAATTCGAATAAATTATTAATCGTGTCGATTATAAATGCATTATTGTTTTACAAGGGTATTTGTTGATAACACTTTTGGATCCTTTGAAATATTATATACAGGATGTCCGGAAACATGTTTCAAAACCACTGTACAGTTAGCTTCAAAAATATGTATATAACCTTTGGTAATAAATATACGCAATCATTCAGGATGTTCGGAAATATATGTTTCAAAATCACTGTACAGTTATCTTCATATATGCACATACTCTTCGGTAGCAAAAATATTCAGTATCCGTATGCTTCCAAACATGAATAGATGTTATTGACGTAACACGTGGAATACGTTACCTATTGTTTTTAAAGCTTTGTAAATGTATACATATTTATGCAGCTGACTGTACTTTTTGAGATTTGAATATAAGTTTTATTTAAAGGTCCACTGCGGCAGTCAACTAACTTACTGATATTATAAATGCGAAAGTTTAGATAAATGAGTTTAAACGAAAAACGAATCTCGCTGAAACACAGTCTGGTAGAACATATGGAATTAAAAAAAATTAAGTCCATGCAGACAGTGCCACGGACGACAGCTAGTTTCCAAAACACATACTTACACTTGAGTCTCTCAGTGCGAGGTCCCCTACAAGCTGCGCTCAAACCACAGCAGAGTTCTTTAAAGTCGACATGTCCGTCTCTATTTTCATCAAGTGCGCGGAGAACGCCGGGCAGCGCGGCGGCGGGCAGGGGCGGGGTCAGCAGCGCACGGAGTCCCGCCCCGTCTAGCTGCCCGCTCGACGCATTGCTTCGTAGAGACCAGAAACATTTTTCTAGCTCGATTATGTCCTGCAAAAAGCATAGAGTTACAGAATCACGTAAGTTTTATCGGTAAGCTAGAGGAAATGTGGATAGAATAATACTTAACAAGCTTTCGGCCACTATCCGCGTGTATATTAAAAAACCAAAAGTAAGCCTATATATTCCTCTAGATTATCCTCTACATCTATACCAAATTTCATCGAGATCGATTCACATTTAGGTTACAAACTCTAACAAACATGTATCCACCTAAACTTTCGCATTTATAATATTAGTAACATTTATTTTCTAGTATTATGGTAGAACGGGCGACCGACCAGGGTTGCAGTTAGGGCGCTGTAGTACTTTCGCCCAAGACGCTGTTAACACTAAAACCGGCCCGGGACACAATGTTATATTCTTATATCTCAGTATTCACAATAAATAATGTAAGATTTACATAAATATCTATGAAAACAACAAAAAGTTAGAGATTCTTGTGACCGCGAATAGATTTTCATAATAATGTAAATAGTAAAGTATACCTGTGTTATAACATCTAAACTATAAACATTATGCGACGGTTTTTCCTTCTTTTACCAATTATATATCACTTTGCCGTGATAAGAGACAATTAAGAACCAATTCTGAGTACAGGCGGAGTGCTTGACTTCGTAATTGTTTTAAATTGCTGGCGACATTCAATTTAAAAGGGGTTCGATTAGACATTCCATGTTATCGCTTGCTTTATAATGTTTTATTTATATTATTACCGCATGTAGTCATCATCATGCACTTGCCTTTATCCCTTACGGAGGGTCGGCACAGATGTGCTGCTCTTCCATAAATCTCTATCAGCCGTCATATCTGAATCATGACTGCATGTAGTGATAACACTAAGTAAAATATTTTAATGAAAACATTTAACATTACATCACCAGCCCACTAAGAGGCTCTGAGCCTACCCTAAGGACTGACTAGGCCATAGTCAACCATGCTGACCCACTGCGGGTACTATTTTAAAGTAAAAAAAAAAGAAAAAACGCGAAAGATGGCGTTATCTAGCGTTAAGAAATTCATACACTGCGCAGTTGTAATTTTTTCTGTATCACATTTTTTTTATTTACACGTCCGATAAGATCGTCTATCTGTCCGTCCTTGCGTGTCACATGCGTCCTGCCAAGCTGATAGAAACTCGCGTGATAACTGACTTTTTATACGTAAAGGTGATTTCGTCCTAGCCAATACATATGGTAAGAGCACACACCTTCAACTAAACTATCGCACAACTGTTGTCTATCGATTGTCAACTGTTTAGTTGCACAACTAAAAATACAGTAGTGTGCGCACCTCTATATAAGTTGAAGGAACCAAAGCAAGACTAGTGCACGCGCACCAATCATAAAGTGCATGATATAAAATACTTTTCAATACTACATGCGTAAACATACTTTGTTATGTAGGGTTAGAACTAGCGTTTTAATAATATTTTTTAATAAAAAACTGCCATAGTTTCCAAACGTATATTTTCATATTTAAATCGTCAATGGATGTCATGACATTTTTGAGTGACCACGTTTTTAACCGTAACTGCGTATTATCTTATATTATAAATGTAAAAGTTTGGATGGATGGATGTTTGTTAGAGTCTGTAGCCTAAACTGCTAAACGGATCTCGATGAAATTGGCACAGAAGCACAACATAGTCTGGAAGAACACATTGGCTACTTTCTTTTGTTTTTTTTATAATTTGACGTGGACGGAGTCGTGGGCGAAAGCTATTTTTATATAATTGAAAAGAGAACTTAATACAAAATCCATACACATAAAACACGCTTTAGACTATGTTCATTTTTAACTATGGGTAAATAATAAAAAACTCATTTTGTTAGTAAAAAGCCTTATTGTTAAGCCCTAACGTTTCAACCAATAGAAGCTATGGTTACGATTATTCATTATTTACGTTCCCCTAGAGTACGGCCACTCCGATATAATACTAAAATGACAATAGACCATTGTGAGACGCAATTTGCTTGGACAATCACCTAATGGACACTAATACTGATTCATTCTAATCCTTAATGTTTTAGGCTATCTAATATTACTAATATTATAAATGCGAAAGTTTAGATGGATGAATGGAATGTCTATTAGTTAGCTGAACCATCTTAATTACATTTAGTATAGATGTAAAGGATAACCTGGAAGAACACATAGGCTAGTTACTTTTTTTAATTCCACGCGGACAGAGTCGCACGTGAAAGATAGTCATTAATATTTTAAGATATAGAATTTTACATGTCATTCTGTAAGAAAACAGTGATTTCTGTACAGGTTGTTTTCGCTATTTTAATTATGCTCCTAGCTGACGCACCTAATGTTGCTATTTTACTAGGCTAATCGGGACTTCGTAAGCCCAGAACAAAAAATGTAGTCAATTTACTCCCGCATACGTTAGCGCATTTACGGACCGACAATAGTTTTTTTTTTTTTAAATTGGACTTAACATAAATGATGTACGCGAAATGTTATTTAGTATGAAAGTTACAACCTTAGTGGCCATTTAAGTGCGACAGTAAGTTTACTAAATTAAGACTTTACGGCACCATTAGCGCCCGATATGAATCAGAGAACGAGAATCAAAGCAATTAAAGAACAGTACCAAAACAGGAAAATCTCTCCTTATCTATGAAGAATCTATTTAAAAATGTGATTGCCCAATCATATAAAATTCCCCTAATCATTGGTATGCAAACTTGTAGTGTTACTTTAACTTATACTTTGTTTTTCCTTGAGGAAATACGGTATCAAAAACATAATTGTGTACCTGGATTTTACCTCAAAACCACAACATGGCCTCCAATCATATACTTATATCTATTAATCCATGTTGAAAAAAAGGAAAAAATGCCAGAAAAAAAGTAAATTAAATGAATGCATAAGAACGTGCTGAAACGAAACTATCGCACAACTATTATGTCTCGCTTATATGGAGGTGCGCACACTACTCGATTTTTAGTTGTGCAACTAAACTGTTGTAATTCGAAACAAACTGCGAAACGCACAAAGTTTTGCGATTGTCGATTGTTTCGCAGCAATATTAAACTTAGGGGGTAAATATTTTGGATAAAATCCCTAATGGGGGAAAGAGACCATAAGTTGCTGCCAACATCAAGAAAGCAAGATTGTCAAGCTTTGTGTCATTACATTTTGACATTTGCAATTGACAATTTGACACATGTAAACAATAAAAATCGCACGGGAACAGCTAGTCGTTTAATAAAAATAAAATATCCTTTATTTCAATTCTGCACCAAAGTTATAATAAAATAAGAGTTTAAAATTTAAAATAGAAAATTATAAGTTAAATAAGGTTAAGAATAAGTTATAAGTTACTACTTTCTAAACGTTTAGTTCGTCTTAAATTCAAATACAAAACTACGAAATAAATAAATGTCTTTTCGGGTTATTGGCATTGCAAACACAATAGCATTTGTTATCAGACTCTTATCTATACAAATGTAATTACATGTAATCACACTATCAGTACACACATTTAAACTATGTTACAAGCACACAACATTGAAATGACATAAAAACATCGCAATAATTAGTCATGTTCAAATATATTGAGAAACTCTTGCTCGAGACTACATCTACGTGGAATTAATAATATTAAGGGCCCGTCCTACCAAATTGTAAATTGTCTGATAACAATCTAATGTTAAATATGTGATTGAAATATCGGATTTTGTTCCCTATTTCCCAGTGACGTCATTTTTAAGCTATCTGAGCCTCTATCAGTGGTAGGACAGGCCCTAAATATAGCTAAATAAATATTGCCATATCATTACTATAGTGTGAAAATTTTTATAATTGGTCCAGTAGTTTTTAAGTTACACTAGCTGTTCCCATGTGGCTTCATCCGCATGAAATTATAATCACTTTATTTTATTGTTTATATTTGTCAAATGTCATAGTTCAAATGACAACCTTGCTTCCTTGATGTTGGCGGCAACTTATGATCTGTGTCGCACATTAGGGTTTTTATCCAAAATATTTACCCCCTAAATTTAATGGCGTGAAAATATATAGCCTAAAGCGTGACGTGGGTGTAAGGCTTATTATCAAAGAAAGAATTATTCAAAAACATGCTGTAATTGCTGACATGTTAGTCAACAAAGAAGTGTGTGTTTATGCTTTATTATAATATATATAAGTATAGATAGATAGATATATAAATCCAAAAATTCAAATTCCTCTTTATATTATTATTAAATTATAGATGTGTTGATTGTAACATATACAAAATACTTTAAAACATAGCATTTCATGGATTAGTTAAGTAATTGGACACTATATACACTTTGTAAAGGGATGAAGCTTTATAAGTTAACTATCTACCAAATTCAACTACCCTAAGCTTAATACCTGCGTTTGTTTAATCAAGTTGATAAAAAAAACTATTAAAGAAGAAAGAAGAGCTCTATCTTATTAATATAACATTAAAGTTTCGGAGAATGGATGGATGTTTGTTAGAGTTTGCCACCGAAAGGAAAAGGATCTTGATAAAATTTGACATAGATGTAGAGCATAGTCTAGAAGAACACATAGGCTAATTACTCCCCTTTTTTTTATAAAAAAAAGTTAGTATTTACATAAAACTACAATAAACTTACCCGCTCTTCCAAATGAGTAACACCAGCCAGACTTTGATAAAAAGTTGGTGTTTCCAAATCATGTGAAATACTTCCTCGATCCGATAGCAGCCATTTCGATAGTACTGTAGCATCTTTATGTATGAGTAACCAGGATCTAAACTGCTCGAAAGTCACCCGTTCACCCAGTCCAAACAAACTGGTGAGAATGTCTGCGGACCGATGGGACTTTGACACCGGCAGGGATGTGTTCTCGATTTGTAACGCACGAGCAAAGTCACGCTTATAGATGTATGTGCCATTCTCACTTTGATTATTTACGTAGAGAGTCCAAAGGAATCTTAAACAAATAACAATTGAATTATGTTAATGCAGTACTGTTTATCTACCTAAAAAACATATTTTAATATAAGCGAAACTTGTGTATATTTTATTATTATCTATTTGTGTATATTTAGTTGTATCAATTTTATTGTGAAATTTTCAATAACAATGTTACAAAGTATTTCTGTAATGATATGTAAAAAAATGACCCTAAATTTCGTCGCGCGATTTTGAGCTAAACTATTTAACTACGTTGTAGTCTTTGACTCCAAAAATCAACCAAAAATGGGACCCACCTGCAAGCATTACCTTTCGGATAAAATAAGAATTATCAAAATCGGTCCACTAGCGGCGGAGTTATGTCGTAACGCACAAAAAAAAAACAGACAAATTGAGTACCTCCTTCTTTTGGGAAGTCGGTCAATAAAGTATTTATTTGTAGTTTTAACAGACAAACAATTTCTCATAATAGTTAACTATTATTATTCCAAAATACATATGTACAATACATTATGTAATGTAATCTAATCTAACTAATATTATAAATGTGAAAGTTTAGATGGGTGGATGTTTGTTAGAGTTTGTAGCCTAAACGGCTGAACGGATTTCGGTGAAATTTGGTACAGGTGTAGAGTATAGTATAGTAGTGTAGAGTCTGGAAGGACACATAGGCTACTCACTTTTGTTTTATTTAATTCCATGCGGAAGGAGTCGATGGCGACAGCTAGTAAATCTATAATTTTCATTAAGATAAGAGGCTAAAGACTGGTTGAATGTGGGTAACAGAGAAAGCAATTAATCACAAAGTTCTCATATCAATTACTTACTGTGACCTACACTTATATTGCACAATTGTGATTTAATAACTGTTATATACTGGAATACATAAGTAATTTAAAGGATACCAGTTCATTAATAAATAAAAAATCTTGTACCTAATAGCCATAATGTTTGCAATTAAGAGGTATCAAAGCTAACACGGTTTAGTACACATTCTTAATTTTTTAACTATGTATGACAGATTGTTAATCAATACATAGTTAGAAAAAAGATTAGAGAAAAGTTAAGATATAGTGATTTTTTAACACTGGGATCTAGAAATATACTGTTTATTAATAGTTCCTCAATATTATAATAGTAATAATAAAATATGGCCTATTTTACTCACAGATAAATTACCTTTCTAACGGTGATAGAATTTTTAAATTAAATTGTTTAAACTAACATGAGACATTACTTTAAACAATAATTTATAACCTGAGTTGAGCCATTTTTAATTTTCGTTTAAAGATTTTTTTAAATTGGCCCAGTGGTTTTTGTGTGAATCATACATACAAAAAGACAAATGTTTCCTCTTTATAACATTAGTATATAAAGAAATAGATATTGAAATAAAGCATTCTTCCTTTTATATGTCTCAATTGTTTTTTTTGAAACCAAACATTTTTTTTTAGTTTTTTAGCAATTCTAACCCTGAATAAGTATGATAGATAACATACTTTGTTATCAGTGTTGATTACATTGGTCTATTTATTAAAATAAATTTATACTATATTATTTTCAGTTCTTAAATCATAGAGTTAATATATTTTTATTGTCTATGATTAAAGAAAATGTTTTAAATTGATGTAATTGTGGGTTTTAATTGATTTTAATTTTGCATATGTAATACAGAAATTAAATATAGATCTATCAAATTATCAAAAGTCTACATTTATTGGTAACATTAGTAATTTCGGACTAAACTTTACTCCAAGTAATTTATGACTCAAGTATGATGTCATGGAATGTTGTTAGAAATTGCAACTAATGTTTTTATTTTTTTACTATTGTTTAAATTTTCAGTGTTATTGTGTTGTGTTATAGAATAACTTTTAGTTTTTACAATGTTCAATAAAAATTATTATTTACATTTATTATAGCCGTACTAGAGGTTTGGGATAGTTGTTGTTATGAATATGTTAATAAATTCGTTTTGCATGTTCTGAGGAAAAATCTAATAGGAATACATCTTACTTGATTTTCTCTTCGAGATTTCCTTTCGTTAATACGACAATTCCGCAAAGAAGGTCTCTGAATATGATCCCTCGCTTTGTACCGCCACAGGCCTGGTACATCCACTCGGCAACTTCGTAAGGTACTCCATCACACAGCACTTCATGGACGAACGCTTCCAGGCTCAAGGCCGTCCCACTTGTACCGGCACATCTCTTAAACGCTTCACGAATACGTCGTAATTCACTCTCGCTTACTGCAAACAAAACTATACTATAAAATCATACAACTTTGCAAAACAATAACGCACAATTATCACACCGCGTACCTCTCTTCGTCGCATCTTCGTAAGATATAAAACTAGGTTTTGAATCTTTCGCACCCATATTCGATAACACGTAATATTTATAACATTTTTAACGCGTAATTAACACAAAGAAACAAATATTACTACAGCTGACAGCTCACGTCGTATGATCTGTAGCCATATTGAATATTTTTATTTTTTATACGACTTCATTGCGAGCTTCTGCACTTGCCACTTGTTCTGCTTGTTCTGTCAAAACTTAACTCGCAACTCTTGTCATGGAGAACTGAAAAACACCGATCTCTATAAATGGATAAGCATAAGTCTATATGATTTGTTTCAAACTACACACGTCTGTTGATCTTTTGGATAGTTAATTCTATGTCTATTATTAGTTTTGATCCTCACCACCACTGCCAATCATAACCGCCAGCACCATAAAAGCGTTAGTTTAGTGGGCACAAACCTAAGGTTTTTAGCCTACCTATTCGTAAAGGTCAGTGCTGGAAAATTAGTCGACACAGATAACACAGAATTTAAATGACATTAAAAAAGCCAGTATTGTTTGACTTTAATACTAAAAATTGATTACCTTTCCATACAAAGTAAGTTTTATACATGGAAGTACTACTAGAATTAGTTATAGTATTATATCCATGGTTTTATAACTAACGAAGTTCATTATAATTGGTAAAATATCAAAATTGAATATCTAATGGACAAATCATACGTACAATATTTTCAAAAATTCAATGGCATTGACATAGTTGGTGTCAAATTGTTGTGACTGTCACCGTCACCTTTTGTATTCCGTCATTTGTCATAATAAAATGGTTTTACGGATAATGTAACTGCGTTTTTAAGCTAGATAATTTAAATAGAAAAAGAATTAAAATTAACTTTACATCAACTACAAGAAATTCTCTACTCGCAGCTGTAATGCTGAGGATAATTAATGAACAACATTGCATAGATTTGTAAATGTCCGTGTCATTGTGTGTTTTGCGTATTGAAATCGACGAAGATCTACCCGAAATGGGTGATAATTCATCAGAAGCAGGTTTGTTTTATTCTTACAATTGGTTTCCATAAGACATTGCTATTTATGAACAAAAACCACTAGTAACAATGTGTTAAACTCGTTTTATTATAACAAAGGACGTAACATGTATTTTTTATAGATGTTTCCGTATTTCGTAACTTTTAATCTTAAAGACATTTTTTAGTAGTTTTGATAGTTTTTATATTAATATACATTTATACTATAGTTTTATAAAAAACTAGCTTTCGTCCGCGACTCTGTCCGCGTAGAATTGTAAAAAAAAAACGAAAATAAGTCGCCTATGTGTTCTTGCAGACTATCATCTACATTTATGCCAAATTTCATAGAAATCCTTTCAGCAGTTTAGGCTACAAACTCCATCCATCCATCTAAACTTTTGCATTTATATTAGTAAGATTATTGGTTTGCTATCTTGGTTCCAGTCTCATATTTGATTGTCTTTATAACATTTTTAATGAATTACAAATAAATTAGCAATTTATCAATCACATTACATAATGCTTATGTATATTATGTTTAATACTACAGAGGGAGCTAAAGAACAAAAGAAAAAAGACCGTGGTGCTAGAGAAAGTAAGACAATAACTGTAGAAACATATGCCAGTGTGCTGGTTGGGTCTAACACTGACACTGGAATCCTGCCAACGAGCTCACGAAGATCACCACCGGAAGACAGTGTCTGTGATGATGAGGAGACAATTAATTTCTTCTGCGGTAATCCATTAGTTGAAGTGACTAAAGGAGTTCTCCATTTGTATAAAGAAAAGTACGTTTTTATGTTTTATTGAAATGAGTAACCTCAATCTTTTTAAGCTTTCTTAATATTCTCTATTTATAACAAAGCACTGTAATGAAATATTTACTGTTGGCGTCGTTTATGCCGCGCACTAACAGATGGCGCTGTGGTGAGACCATGTTGTATTAACACACGATGTTGAGAAGAATGTTTCGCCACACATATCCTCTCCGGGGCCCCGAGACTGTGTGGTTTTTTGTAGTAGTTCTCTTCGTTCGCATTGTTGTTGGCGTTTTGTACTTTTCGTTCGTTCGTTTACTTGTTCAATTTTTAAACAACATTTTGTAATACTACAAAACATTGTTTAAAAATTGAACAAGAAAAAAAAATAAAAAAAAACATACAGACGAATTGAGTACCTCCCTCTTTTGGGAAGTTGGTCAAAACAATTACTTGTTAGCCAAGCCAAGGTAATCTTTTTTTTTGTCTCATTGAATCTATCAAATTGTTTCTTTTCTTTTAATTGTTGCCAGTGTTATCTATACTAATAGATTTGAATTTTTGTATGTGTTGAAGTAACAAAAACTACTAGGCTGATTTAAAAAATTCTTTCACTATTTTTTTTTTTTCAATTTTAAAACATTAAAAAGCTATGTTATACTGTGTAACATAGGTTGAAGCCATGAGCAGCTAGTTTTTACTGAAAGAACGATATGTTTTTTTATTGTCTTTAGTTAATAAATTAGATTGAATTAACAGTTTATTTGTATTTATTTCAGTGAATTGAAAGAGGCCGAAGAGGCAAAGACACTCTGTTTACTGTCAGTACCAGGGGCATTGGGAGCACCAGATCTGCTAGCATTTGCTGCAGCCTGTCAGCAAGATATCGCACATGTTAGGGTCCTTAGAGACGGCTCACTTGACCACTATATGGCTTTACTTACGTAAGTATATATTATTAGACAACTTATTTAATTGATAGTGTCGCTTTTAACTCAGAGCAATACTTCTCGTCAAGACTTAGGATGCGCGCCAATCTATCCATACCTCTAGTGACATTTGACAGCTGTCAGCTAGGGACGTGACGTTTATGCCGATAATCTAGAGTTGCGCCAATTCTATAGCACGGTACTAATTTTATTCCTAACAGTTCGGCCATCCTGCGTTTACTTCGTCCTCGAAGGAATACTCAACCTCGCCGCACGATACGTCGTTCTATCGGCCCCGAGGAGATGATGCACCTCGACCAATTGCAAGCCTCGTAACCAATGTATAGTCCTGTAAGCAGATTATAACCCCGAAAGCAATCATGAGCGCGAAGGCT